TTTTGATCTTCACACGTCCAGGTGCAATGAGGGAAGAAGGGAACATCTGCTAGGGAGTGCTGAAACCCCAGAAAATAACATCAGCCCAGGCATCCCTCACTGTGTGCTTCATGCAGGGCGCCTGGACACGCTGGGAGGAGAAACCTGAGGCACCAAATATCACCAAGCACCTTCATCTGTTTATTACAATCACTAATCAGCATCTGGGAATGCAAATGCACTTACACAGGTCAATGAATAAAACAGAAGAGAGTAGCTAAGGGGAAAAAAAAAGATGCTAAATACAACAACCTTGAGTTTTGAGCACTGACTTTGGTACGCAGAAACAACAGGGGGAAAGACAACCCACAGCAAAGGCAGCCAAGCTCACAGATCTTCACCTAAGCTCTGTTTGAGCCTAGAAGGGCAATTAGTTACAAGATTATGAACTACAATAATCTTAGCCTAGGAACAGTGACCATGAGCTGGGATTTGGTTCAGTGTGGTCTCAGCAGTTCCTGTGGGCACTGCCACAACCCCCCTCTAGTCCTACACACAATAAAATATTCAATAGTCAAGTTCTGCAAAGAGAAGTACCTGGGTTCCTTTTTCCAATTCAGAGGGAAGAAATCTTCCCTGCTATTTAATCAGAGTGAATGCCATGACACCCTGCAGCTCTCCCAGCCCCAGCAGCCTTTTCCTAGGCACACTTTGAGCAGGATGAGGGTTTGTCTGAATGAGCAGAGCTCAGAAGGGTGGAGATAAGCAGAGCAAAAGGGTGCTGGGAGCCCCAGGTGCACCCACCCACACTGCAGAGCTTTGCTCCAGCTCAGGATGAAAAGCCATTGGCGGCTGCAGTGCACAGAGGGAGCTCCTGAATTATCCTGGCTCCTGAATTATCCAAACTCACCCTGGGGGTTCCCTGGCCCTGGAGCCCCAAGAGAAGCACAGAGAGTGGGCATGGGGTGATGCAGGATTCCCTCCCAAGGTGCAGCACACCAGGGGGAACAAAAAAGAGCCTCTGACCAAATTGGAATTCATTGAAGCCCATGTTGGTACTCCAGGTAGATAATCACGATAACATCGATCTTCCTTCTGCTCTTTGAGTTATTCCCTTACCCAACAAGATCTGCTAAGGACCCAGGGTTTGCTGTGGGGAGAAGCCAGCAGAGCTCCCCAGCCCTGTGGGCAATGGGATAATTCAGACCCCAATCAAAGCACACATTCCAGGTTTCATTTCAAAGTGGAGCTCAGGGGAACCCCACAGACCTTGCAGGATCTCACAGCTCATGACAGCACATTCAAACAGCATCAGGTGGATCAATTTCTTTGATAGAACTCGTCCCACTAATGATTTGGGGTTTTTAGGAGTCTAACCAAGAAAGGACAATTGAAACTTATTATAAAACACTGAGCACATCACCACCAGAATATGGTACAAGATTCCTGCTCTGTTTTCATTCCCCTGCTGCTCCCACACCCTGTCCTCAGGGACATCAATTTTCATTCTCCACCATTTAGGGTTGTTCTAGGGTGGGCTTTGTGCTAGCAAAGAACCCATGATCTGTAACAAAACTGAATTTCTACTTTACTGGACAAATATACCAAAAGAAATTGTGGCATCTTGGTGGGTTGCTAAGCAACCAAGAGCTCCAGTGTCACTTGTTTGTGATCAATTCAAGTCATTCACAGGGCTCTGAAGCACCAGCTCAGGAATTCCAACAAAATCTGTGCCTTGGGAAAGCCAGGGGGACTTCCTGACACACAGTAACACTTTCTTTCCTCCAAGATAAACTTTGTAGATGTTCTTTTGATCTGTGTGATATGTTAATCCATTATTCTGAACGTACTGCTAATGGGAAAAGCTATAATTAACTAACTACAGCATTGTAATCCGTGCAAGATAAACTGATCTAATTAGTAGTGTTTAAAGTAGTCCGTGTCCTCTCCCAGTGGGGAAAGGAGCAGATCCTTTCTGATCACAGGAGCAACTGTCCCCAGCATCGTTTCGTGTAAAGAATAAATTCCTTTTTGTTCCATTTTCCCCTCCCAAACAGAAGTGATGAAGTGAATTTTTACTGGCAAACAAGGTGGCCCCAGTCCAAGGCACTCGAGGTACACATGCAAGCTGTGAATAATGCAATCTTTCATTTAAATAAGGCTTATCTGTTGGCTTTCTTGGGGTGAAGAAGTGGACTGTTATACTTTCATGCATGAAGTTTAATTACTGAAGTAACTCATGCTAAATGCCCACAATAGTTGCACTCACTGAGTTAAATGTATATTGCTGAAGCAATATACATTTATTATGTACAAATAATAAAGTCTCTTTATTTCAGCCTTATATTCAAGATTCATCCCATCCCTATTTTGATAAAAAACTGTATTAAACAGGAAGAGTTTAAAAACAAATTGGTTTCCAAGCTGTATGCTGCATATGGCAACATTTCAACTCCTTGATTGCTGGCAGGTGTTTTTTTACTGAAGCTATTTAATGATAATTTCATATACACTGGTATATGAAATTTAGTATTTCTAAAGAAATTACCTCCTGCAAATCTCGGTGTCCTATCCCGTGCATCTTGTTTTAATGTCACATGATCTGGACTTGCAGTTCCTCTGCAAGCCAGACTCCACTGGCAGCAGATGCTCAGCCTAAATGAGCACCAGAAACTCTGAACCAGAATTTCCTAATTTTTGATTAATTTTTAATGACCCACTGAGAGAGAAAGGGCTTTATTTGGCTTGGGTTTTTCAGAAATACAATGAAAATTTATTAGTTTTAAGGCAGGGAGAAGTGTTAACACAGCAGGAGTTGTGCACTCTGGTATCTCTTATCAGAAGATAAGCAGAGGCACGTGGGAAGCAATGGCCAGAGGATGGCAAGCACAGCTCCAAAGAGGTAACATTTCACGTTAATAAATGGCTAAAAATTACATATTTATTTAAAGTACAGCTTTTCACCTCCTCTCCTTTCCTCAGACCTGGATCTAAAGTCACAACATTTATTATTTATTGCTCGTGGAATGGGATTTGGGAGAGCTACACAGCACTTATGAACTCAGTCACACCAAACCCTTGGCAATGACACAGAAATGCCACCTGTCACCTCTCTGGTGAAATATTCCAAACCCACATTTCAAGCAAAGGTATTCCCAGGTAGTGCTGAACACCTAATCCAACAAAACAGAGCTCAGCTCCATCCTACCCCAAAGGAAGCCAAGCATCCCTGAGGACGGAAGCGGCAGATGCAAAGCCCACGTTCATTTGCCGTGTCTGACTACAGGAGCACAGAATCTCCCTGGGCTGCGTTGCCAAGCTCGCCGATGCTCTCTGATCGTGCAACAGCAATCGATAACACACACACAGCCCAGCCACCGAGCCCAGCCGTTCCCGCAGCGCTACACGGGGAATTACACCGCTTCCCAGGGAAAAAACACCATCAACCTGGGCACCTCGGGAATGACTGAGGAACTGCAGCGAAACCACCGCAAATCCCCTCTGAAACCATTTGGGAAGCTGAAACAAGTGCTCGCCAAGACGCAGGACATCAGAATGGCAAACTTGAGCCCGCCTAAAGCAGCACGGGACTGAGCCAGCAACCCCAGCCGAGCCCACGGACCATGGCTCTGTCCCCTGGACCCTCTGTGCTGTCCCCTGGACCTGTTCCCTGGTCCGTGGGTCTGTCCCTTGGTCTATGGCTCTGTCCCCCGGACCGTCCGCACTGTCCCCTGGCTCTGTCCCTTGGTCTA